TGAGCAGTTCACTGAAAATTCTATAAATGACTTACTAAAAGAAATTTTAGTAAGTACGAAATATAAACAAAGAAGATGGTGGTAGGTTATAAGTGGTCATTAACTAACTATTGTTGATATAATAATAATTTTTTAAACCCCATCCCTCCTATAATCATTTGAAGGTTTATAATATAGATAGAAAAAAAATCCATTATAATTACGATATTAAAATAGGAAAAATAGGCTACTACGTGACATTCCGGATATTGTTAGATCCTTGGGCGGAAGGGAATTTCACTGATATGCCCACTAATAAGCCATGGATGAACGACATTAACAAAAAATATTACAATACACCTCTTTTGGAGGCAAATAATTTAAAACACTTAATTTGCCTACCAAAGAAGTGGAAATAAAGGGAGTTAAATAGCCTTTAGACATTCATATCGTGGGTTACCCCCTATCTTAGTATATTGACATAGTAATGGGAGTGGATGGATTAAGAAAGTTTGGTATTAAACTAGTAACTTCCTCTAAATACCACTTAAATAAAAATAAAAATATATTACAAGATATTAAGTTTTGTTAACAACCAGACGAAATATAGTACAAGTCTTCGGCGAAGTGAATAGAAGTAAGAGCCACGTGACGGTCAAAAATATATTTTAAAGACCTTACCAAACTTAAAGGAGAAGGCGTTACGAGGTAGATGATTCGACTCTTAGCCCTTAGGTTGTATAATCTTCGTTGGAACCCCGATAAAAGAGGTGTTGAGAACTTAAACCACTCAAACTAAATCAAAAAAAATTACAAGCCTGTATGGTGTAAATAAAAAATGAACGGAAATAAGGTGCAGTGTGAACACGTAATAAGATAGGCGGAATTATATGCTGGTCCTAGTAGAAAAACCTGAGATAAAAATGGTTACTCGGGTGCAACAGAAAAATATATGGAAATGTTCGATGCATTCCGAGGAGTAAACACGAAAGGTATAAAATTCCTAAAAAAAAATTTTTTTTACGAGCCTGGACAATCCCTAGGGTTTCCATCAAAGAGAGATACACAAAGATTGCCGGAAATACTTTGCTTTTACACTCCCTGATAGAAATAAATTTAAGTGACGATTCATCCCTTTGTTTATGTCAATGCCTTGTTTACTTAATAAAAAGGAATGGACATAATAACTGAAAAACTGAAGAATACCCATATCCATGTTAATGGTTGCTTAGTTAGCACTAGCACGAAAGTAGCCCACTTTAGGTTACTTAGTGGAATTAGCATCTCGTTACGAATTATTTAATGTTAAAATTCGATTGAAAAAATGCAATTTTTATTAGAACTCAGCTACGTGAATTGGTCGAGAAATTTCCAATAAAAGAGTAAAAATGGACAAGACTGCAGGCTTTTATTAACATGAAAAGTCCAGAAAATAAAGAAAAAATGATGAGTTTTATGCAAGCACTAAACTATTAGTACATGTACGATCTGATAATGCAATTATTTTGGAGCACTTAAACCGAGTGTTAGAAAAATAAGTGATGATGACCAAGAAAAAATTGAACTAATGGTATGAACATTTTAAAAAAAAAAATTGTGTTGAATTAATTTACCCTGGTCACGAACTGGTTTTACAGACAGATGCCAGTGATCTAAGGATAGCGGGGTTCTATAACAAAAATATGAAGGAATAAATCACTACATAGCATTAGTGAGCACAAAATTCAATAATACTCAAGGAAAGTATATTATAACCGATAGAGAAAAATTAGCCAACTAATAAGCTAACAGACATGATAAAATACTCAGGGAAAGAATTTATAGTGGAGACACATCACAAAGCTTTAATAGATGTTATTAAAAATAAGTATGGTGTTGAAACGGTTAGAGAAAAACGAATTTTAAGGATACAATAAATATTGAATAACTAGGGTTGGCTTTTGAAATACAGTCAAAATTGAATGTTATAGTTGGCCTATAGTAAAGATTAGCGAGCGATGATATGTTGATAGATTACAATAAAATCAAGCAATTATGAGTAGTGTGTAAAGGAAGATATAAAAACTACATGCTTTAACTAAGATATGGTAATCAATCTACATAAAACTTAGGCCACGTAGGCCTATCTAAGCTTAGTTCTATAATTAGAGAAAAGTTTTGTAAAAGTTCTAATGAAGGAGATGAAGGAGGTCGTTAATCAATATAATGCGCGACAGAAATTTGGAAGTAGATAACTACTGGAAAAGGAGAAATTACATATTCCGGAACAAGCAAAGGAACCCTTAAAGTATATTGCATAGATATTTAATGAAAATGCCCAATTAAAGACTACGGTAGTATTTACTAGCAATTGATAGGTACTCAAGACTTATGTAGACTTAAAACTGTGAAAGGGTGACCAGTGAAAAAATTATTATAATACTTCATGATAAATTTATGTTGCAGATTTAGCAGGTAAAGATTCGGTAATTACGAGCCATAGATAACGTATTTTTTAGTCAATTTAAATTTAAAGACATGCAATAATAGTTGATCACCACCAAAGTAATGAGTTAGCTGAGCGGGCGTTAAAGTATCTTACAAAAAGATTTGACATAGTCAGATGTCTTGGATCTATACAGTACCAAACTTTTTATAGGTTAGTCCAGGATACAAGCTATTAAAAGTTAGAACCAAGTATGCACACTTGACCGATATTAAAAATATCGATTTTTGGTTGAGAAGAAAGAAGTAGTGAGTTAAAATAAAATGGAAAATGTTTTAGGAGGGAAACTAACACACTGAAGAAAGGATGAGGCGTATGAACGTAAGAAACGCAGAGAATCTGGATATAAGTGATGTTATATATATATGGTAGTCACTAATAAACGAAATAAATTGTGGAAATTGGATTGAACCAGGGGAGATTATAAATGTAATGAATTAAATCCAATTTAAAATTCAGTCCAGCAACGAAATATACGTTACACGAGGATCACGTTAAATGGGCAAAAAATCACTGTTTGGAAGTCGATTACAGAAGCTTCGGAAGGCTCGGTAGTACATTATTTGACTGAACTTTTTAATGGAAAAGAATTTAATACCGAGGAGTAATCAAGAATACTAAAAATTTTAACAAAAAAAAAAGAGGTTGTTGCAGCCGTCGGTGGTTTTTTCGTATGTCCGGTAACGCGTAGGGCATTATAGGCGCACACTTTATGACTTATGAGCCAAGATTTGCCAATCAAAAGACCCATTCATACATAGGATTATTTATACTTACCGAAACCATCGCTTTCAGCTATTTCACATATGCGTGTACCCAATTTTACTCGCCTAAAGTTGTTCTCGCTTGTGGGGTGTGTTAGGATATTTAAACCTTTACTAACTGAAATTTAAACCTTTAAGCCTTTTAAAATTAGTTGTAAACAAATTTATATATATAGTGGAGACATCAGACGTGAGTAAAACCAAAAAAGCACTGAAAAAAAATTAACACGACTGCCGTTTATTTTTCTAGAATCCTCAATATATACTAAACTAGGCAATGAAATAATGTAAATATTAATCATAAGAATTGCCTAAAAATGGTTTTGCGTTAAAACTTATTAACTGGGACCTTTTCCTCAACAGGATGAAGTAATTCAATAAACGAGCATCTCTTACCCTTACATAACATCCTAGCTATAAGAGCTAAGACTACGCGCCGAAAGAGATAAATCCATAACTAAAACTATTTTGAAAAGATCTTATTAGTTAAAAAATTATATAGCTAACCGCTACTAACTCGCTGGCAGTGGGGCAAGCTAAGTACATCAAGCAATATAACGGGAGTAACAAACTGCCTAAAGAAAGGTTAATAACATATTTAATAGTATAAAAAAGGATTTATTCAGTTTTTTTCTAATAACGTTTTTATAAAAGTGGGCCAGCCGGCAGACTTCAAATTCACTTTTTTAAATTACATGGCTCCTGAGCTATTACCCAGGGGTGCTCTTGGCAAGTACTGAGACAACTACTGGCTTGCCCAGACTCTAGGCACGGTGTTGATTTTAAAATTTTTGGTTTTTTCCTACAAAGCGGCGGTTGTAAGGGTTTATGCACATTGGGCCAATCAAGGGCGCCAATAACAACTCTTTCCTCTTTCGTTCCACCAGAGTAAATAAAGGCTGGATGAAGTTGATTATAAGGCAAACTTTTACAGTTAACCATTGAGGGCTTTTCTAAGATGTATGGGGGCGAACTCTTGCATCGACAGCATTGGCGACTATGCGGATGCTCAGATCGTATATTGTTACTAAAAGCTTGGTTCATGCCTTTACTTAAATGGTCGGGCAACGAATAATTACGAGAGCGCTGATACGAATACATATAAGGACATGCCTGGTTTTTAAAGGTGAGCATAATACCCGGGGGGTCAGACCGGTGCAAATATGAGCCCTGTAGACCTTTGGTTTCATCAGTTGAAGAGCGGGGTTCCGTCGAGAGAGCAAGTCGAGTAGAATGAAAAACGTCTACTGAATGAATTGGAGGAGAGTGGCATGGTTTCATAGAAAAACCCGGAATAGGTGAAAACTCGTTATATATTAAGTGCTTATTCGCTGGAGTGCTGGATAACTGAAAATCTGAATGGTAATAAGGCGGATCTTTTATGGCTGTATGCTGGACTGAGTATGGATAGGATCCTTTCTTTAGCAAGTTATGTGGTTGTGAATAAAAGGAATTTAACTTCAGAGGACCATGGTACTCGGAAAGAAAGCTTGTGGGGTTAGGCTTACACCTTGTGGCCTCCTTACTAGCTTTTCGATTATTATTTTTATTATTGCAATTATTGTTATTATTATAAATGTTATGATTATTACTACTGTTACTATTAATACATTTTTTATCGTCGCCAATGTCTTTATTATTATTATTATATAGACTATTATTATTGTTAGTATTTTTATTATGACCAATATTATTATCTTCAGAGAAGTTCTTACATACATCTTTAGCAGCGATAACGCTCCCAGGATCTTTCCTTTGTTTTTTAAAGGGTGCAACCGGGTGACTGTGGTCTTCCAAAACTTGAGAGCCCGGTCTTTTTAATAACATTTGCATATTTTTAATTTCTTTTGAACGGTTGGGAGACAGTTCGCTAAAAAAACTTTTATAAAGCTCTGCTTTTTTACGCTTTTCACGAATTTTATCTAGTTGTACTCGTATCATAGAAAAGGAAAGAGGCCTTAATTCTTTTCCGCTTCCACAACCCTTTTGCTATTGACATTTTAAAAAAATAAGCAAAGCTAACTTAAAATAAATAAATTATTGTAAGCATTAACAGAATATTAATTTAGGTTAAGGCAGAAGAAAAGAACTGCCCTAAAAAAAAATTTGTATTATCCTTATCAGAGAAAAGATGCGTTTTTATAATTATTTGCTGAGAAAAAACATAGCTTTATATACCGTTTCTTTTAAGCATTTCTCGTTACTTTCGGAGGTAGATGCTGAGGGCGCAATAACTGTTGCCGTCTTGCGCTCTATTCGAGCTTGGGCAAGTTTAAGTATACGAGAGCTGGCAGAGCTGCTGCTGAAAAGTAGTTTGGGACCAAAAGTAAACAGTAATCCAAACTGGTTTAAAAGCCTTGCATTCCCAGCAGCGGTCTCATAATTACCGTTAGCAATAGAAAGAGTCTTTTCAGAAAAGTTGATATCACGAGACTCCTCTACGCGCTCGTGAATAAGAAACCTGCGAAGATTTTGAGGTAATAAAGCAGCATAGGCTGCATTCTCTGGGTTTAAGATAGTTAAGATAGTCCAGCTGTCCCTACCCGCTTGAGTAAGTAGTTGGCTCCAGTACTTAACGCTGGCGCCCGCCCATTTATATAATACAAATTGTTGAGCGAGAACTTCTTTGAACAGAATCTTAAATTCTTCGGCATTATTTTTTTTTTCTAAAAAAGTTTCGCTTTTATGGTGTACTTTAATAGAGGCGCTGTTGTTCTCTCTTTCACTCTGAAAAGGATGGGTGTATTCATAGCCCGTCACTAAAGAGCTGTTGAGATCAGCTTTACTGATACTATTATTAGCAACTAACGAAGCTCCTTGGCAGGCGCCCCCTTCCTCTGAAGTGCTCCTTACTTCACCAAAAAAAAAGTCAGCTGTATAAATTTAAATTGTAATAATTAAATATTATAAAAAGAGATAAAGCAAGAGTCTGAGGGCCCTTGCGATAACTTTTAAAAAAATCACAGCGCTTGAGAAAAAGCAACATAATAAATAGCTAATAACAAGGACAACAGAGAAAAAGCAACGTTACAACGCTCATTGAGCTTAATCTGGAAGGTTTATTATCTCGGAATGCAAGAAACAAACCATTTTACAGCCTTAAAAGTACGAGCCTTTGTGGCTTGCATGCTGCAAACAACAAGTGACAATACTCATAAAGCATCAGCAAAAAAATAAAGGGAACAACAAAGGGAGTAGTAAAGGAGCGGGAGGTACCAGCAGCGGAACAGGCAAAACCGGCGTCAAAAGGATGTTTGGCAAAGCACGTGATCTCTTGGTAAAAAGAATTCATATTTTTAAAACCCAATAATTGAGACTGCGGGACGAAGTTCCAATTTCCTCCGTTAGACACAGTTTCATGCTATAATACTATAACTAGCATTAAAGGCTTTTCCCCACTAAAGTAAGGTATACCTTTTCTTTATTCCTCTCGTCTTCCGTTGCTAAATAAAGTTAAGAAGAAAGAAACAAGTTAATAGATATTATACCAATAAATTTGATACAAAATAGAAAACATAATAGCAAACACGGAAAAGGCTGACAATTTGATATAATAATACACAGTAGGCACAAATTGGGAGGGGGGCGGATAATAAGTGACACTTATAAAGACAGCAAATAGTTTCTTTTGTAAAAAATAGCTGTAAAAATGTAAGACAAAACAAATAAATAAACACTTTTATAACGCAAATGTTAACTTTAATAGTATAAAACTTTGAAAACAAAGAATATAGCACACTTACAGGAACTTCTTAAGATGTGTGGGGAAAGGCAATGTTTAGAAACCTTATAGCAATAAACATTAGGCTTATTAGTAAATAAAGTAGATAGGAGGAATAAGAAATAAGAAATCCAAGTGGTATTAATAAATTTATTTTACATGCTTTCAAAAAATTGGTAAACTTTATAACATCCAAATGCTAATAGCGCGGGACTTTAGTATAATATGAGGCCTTGTGGCCTTGCGAGTAGAGGAATAAAAGACTAAAAAAAACACACGAGGTAAACTCACTGAAACTACTTACTACACTAATAATAATAGACTGGGATAAAATCAATTGTTAACGAACTTTAAAAGATTTTAATTTGAAAAAAGAAATAAATTCAAATACCCGGAAACAACAAAGATTCTGAAAGGATTCGCTATCTCCAAAAGCTATAAGGTAGTCTTCACCTAGACAAGTAATGACTGTGGCCTTCATGGGCTGTTATTTAAAGATTATTTAACTTGTAAGTGGCAGTGCCCTAACTAAAATAAAGATCAAAGGAAAAAAATTTATAGCTAGTTCACTTAGAATTCAGTTTCGTTTAGTGAAGAGAGTAAAAAAGTCTTTTACTAAAGAAAATCCTAAAACCTTTAAATTATAGTTTGCTACTTTTTAAAGCAATTCTAATTAAAGGACAGTGAAGGTATATAGATTTTTATGTAGGGGTAATAAATAAAAAACGATTAAAGAGAAAAGAGAAACTGTTTAGCCAAACAAAACCGATAGATAGAGAAGTGGAGCATTATGTAGTAAACGTCTTTTACACAAAACTTTAGCAAGAATTAAAAATAAATCAACGATATGCACTGTTAAAAAATATTGAACATAATAACAGACCGAACCGTTCCAGCCTAAACTAACGTAAACTATATCATTAAGTTGGTACATGGCGTTGAAAATAGTGCGCAATATTATAGCTTAGGTAACCGTTCGTGTAAATAGGGTGTAGTCGATAGAAACAAAAGGGCCGTCTTATCGAATGCACGGTTCAACGGCCCCCCCACAACATCGGGCGCAGGGAGACAAATTTGTTATAACCTGATAAAACTAAGCTTAAATATGGTATTTATCAACCAACTTTAGTTTGTACGATTCACTTAAAGGCTGGGGAGACTTAGTAGAGAATTAAGGTTATTGTATCTGTCTAAAAAAAATTGTGTTAAAATTAGTTTATAAATGACTGATATAGCACTCTAATTTAAAAGCGGAATATATAATCTTTTAAAGTTCGTTTAGCTGCCAAATTAAAGTAAATTTAAGTTGCGGTTTTGTGGTTTCAAGTTACCTAACCCTTTTGGACTCTTCTGCTTGAGTATTGATTTCTTTGACCCTCCGCATAACCTCAATTTCGGCGGTATTGCGTAATGTATAAAGCACGGCTCCAAATATGCCTACTACCTACGAAAAGTTGTTGCCTAAAAGGAAATAACTCTTGGAAAGATTTTTTCATCTTAACGTGAATTTAAGTTGCAATCAGTAATCCCTGGCAAAATAAAATTTTACCAATAGTTTATTAATTCGATGTTTTCCAAGTGGTATTAAGTAATAACGTATTTTAACATAATACTTATTTATAATATTTTTAACGAAAGGGTAGAATTTCAAGTGAAATTAAGGCGACTAGCCAAAGCAACTATCATTCTTATGAGGAATACATAACTTTTGCATTATTATTAGGGTACCTTCGTTGATGCTGTAGCCTCATTACCGTTCCTGTGTACTTCGAAGAGCCTTAAGTAGCTCGCAGTTCCTTCACGCACGAGTCGAAAGGTTGCTCTTAATAATGGGAAAAACTAAGTGGATGTCAAAGACCATCAGTAGGTATTAATAATACTAGTGTATTAAAAAAGGATGCCTTCTAGTACCGACTGCAATAAGAAATGGTCATATATTCAACTGTTAAAGTTGTTTGTAAAAATATCTATGCAGTCGTGCTGCTTATAAGGTCTCTACATAAGCATAGCAATGTTGGCAATGACTCCTGCGATCTTTTATTCTAATGGTTGTTAAAAATTGGTGAAAGTTGCTATATTATGCAATCACTGCATAATATGGGGTTAGATGCTTTTGAAACCAGCGGGAGTACTGTACTTTACTCTACTTACTTAAACAAGAGTTTACATAATGAGAGACGAATTGTAACAAAATGCACTGATTATGAGCTATTAGTAGATTATAAGCTAAATTATAAAATTTATATTTACTATTTTTATGCTACTATAGTTTTTAATGGGGCCTTACTAGAACATTACTTGCAAAGATACTGTATGTATCTAGTATCTAACTAGGTAATGTATACGTGCATCGATACACTGTTATTTACTAGCTCGGTATAAATATAAAGCGTCGGTCTAGAAGGAAGCACCAAGAATTGATACCAGTCAATTGCTGTTGCCTGCTTTACGCTTTTGTATCCAAGATTAGGTCAACCACTAAGGGTGCATATACTAATATTATTCTTATAAACTATTTAAAAGAATATTAATAAAATTAAAAACCTTACATACATCGTTAACTCGAGGGTAAGGTATTATGACACAATTATTCAGAACACGAAAACACCTAAAACACAGTTCAAAACACAAAATGTATACGGAAAACACAAGAACATGAAAGCGCAAAAGGCAAAAAGAAAAAAAAAGCAACATAGAATACAAAAAATAAATAGCATAACTATTAAACATAAAACGCACTAACCACAAAATACAAATACACAAAACTAAAATACCATTACAAACACAATAAATTACCCATAAATTTTCACAGGAAAAAACGATCGGTGAGTAAACCGTTCATATACCTGTACTCTCAAAATAAAAATAAAGGAAAAGAGGAATTAATTTTGTACACAGAAACAACGACCTTCTCTATTATAGGTTAATTGTTGCTATGTTTACCACTTTTTGCCTGGGTTCAGTTTGCAAGTGTAGGACTATGGAAATTGACACTAAACGACAGACTCGGTCTGCGAAACAATCGCTGATAAGCTTGAGTACGATGTCCTATCGAATTAGGCAGCAACCAACAAAACATTAAAAAGTAGCAAATTTAGTTACCAGTGATCAAATAAAAATCTTTTTTAAGCCCCATGGTTTTGGAAGTAGAAGGATTAATTAAAAACAAACTCAAAAAATATCTATAAAAACTAATCTGGTACAATTAAATTTATTATACAAATTTGGAAGTATTTTTTGTCCTTTTTGTAAAGGTTTTACAAATGGCGGTGCTTACAGAGAAGGTTAAAAGGACGGAAAAAAATTTATTTTTGTAAGCAGATTACAGTGTATTCCAGTGTTTTTCCTTTTCTCACAGCAGGTTTCCTTTGCCAAACATATACTATATTGGTGGTCACTCACTGTTTTTTAGACTTAAGGTTAACTCCGTTGTTGAACCGCGTGCTTTGTTAAAAAGCACCATAATTATATAAGGATTGAACTTGTGTTGTTTGGCGGAAGAACCCTTATAGCTTTTACTTTTAGTGGTATTCTCTATTAGTTTTTTAAGTTTAATCTGTTATGGCAGTTACTTAACTGTCTCAATTTAACGCTGACTTGCGCGATACTGGATAGGACTCTTTAAACTTAATATATTATGGTGTGTGGATTTAGATTTGAGAGGTCGCGCAGAACGCCTATGAAAATATTAACTTTATCTGGTTACAGTTACCATGCGGTTAATTATTCTCTTTTCTTTACAGGAAGATTATTATATAAATTTAGGATAGTTAAATATATGAAATAATTAATAATAATAAAAAAGTGTGAAAGCTTAATTTTATTGTCAGAGCTCCTTAGTATTTACACTGAAAACTGGATGTGAAGAACCATAAATAAGCCATGCTACAAGTCAAACTTTCCTGTTTTTACTTTTTATAGTAATATTTTTTTGTAGCATATAAGTTGGAACCTCTTCCTTTTGGACGAGACGAATTTTGCTTTTTCTTTAAACAAGAGCTGTAAATTACGTAATTTGTTCTTTTGCTCTAAATTGTCTTAATGTAATCCTAACTCTTTTCCCTTTTGGCTATCTTCCGCTTAACTCTATACGATCATAGTATCCTCGTTCAACTTTTCTTTCCCATTATCTATTCTACGTTCGTTATTAGCTGACTTTACGGCCGTTCATTTCGCTTTAACTTCTTTTTTCTATCATTAACTTATTCTGATCACCCAACGCGTTTTTTATCATAAAAAAAAAGCATTACTATCTGTTAAATCCTATGATCCAGTATGCATCTCTAGCTTTATTTTAATGGATCGAACTAAATTCAGTTAGGAGAATGCATTTTCTTAGTGGATCATAATTACATTTGCGTTTTTAGCGCTTAAATATATATGTAAGGCTTATCAGCTAGAATGAAAAGCTGATTCTCTCACCTTCTTTGCATTAAAGCGCCTTTCGCTTACTCCTTCATTTAGTTTCCTTTTTTTTACTGTTTCCAGTTTCTAATTCCTAAGTTCTATTTCTATTTTTTTAAGCTCTTAGTTATAAGTTCATTTCCTACTCTAGCCAGGTCATTATTTAACTACTTGTGTTGAATAAGGGCCTTAATAAAGGGAGACATAACGTTTATCCTCTTTTTTTTTCGTTAAACTTTAGTAGAACAGGCTAGTTAGCTATCATTCCTAGAGTGGTAGCTAATTAGTTTTGTTCTACTAAAGTGGAACTTTGATTCTATACAAATTAGCGTCTGTCGGCGCACTTAGCCCGTGCGGTTTCCGGTGGGTGGAAATATCAATGGTTGACAAGCGAGTGCCTTCCAGAAGCTGATTACAAGGTAGATACAAGGATAGCTGTCTCGGGTCAAGTATCTATGCTTGGAAGGTGACATCTTTGTTGTCCCTGTTGCAACGATGCTAAATAAAACTCAATAATTCAAGCTAATGACAATTTATCTGCATTCACGTGTGACTCGTAAAGTAATATGAAGGACTAACTACCTTTCAGCTTTATGATAAAACCTTAGAATTATGATTAGAATAACTTTATTAGTTCTACTCTATCTGAGGTTTGCCTTGTTCTTCGGAGAGCCGCAGGGGGTTTCTAAAATATGACTTGATAGTCCTCGTGCTGAAAAACGTGCTCTTAAAATAGTAAAAGAGGCGCCGGTAGCATTAGTCCTGAAACAAGTTCTATATTAGTTGTATCATACAAATCTGTAGCATCGACTCAGGCTGATTTAAATTTAGTAAGCTAAAGTTATCGAAAATTAGAGCATGATGTTTTCAGGTTTGGAGGGGATGGCCTCTGTAACTTGATATTATTATAGTGATCGGCTATGTAACCAAAAGTTTTTTAATTAGAAGTTTACGCGTTGCCTGTGTAACTTGTCTATTCTTATAGACAATATTTAAACTAAGATAAACATATACGTAAATTAACAATCTGGACTGAAATTTAGCTAAGTTCTCTAAGTACTTCTGCTATAGCTACTAAATACGTTTAAAAACTTTCGCTCGAAAAGGCTTACGGAATGAGTGACACAAAAAACACTATACGCTGATTTCGGAGTTATTAATACGATTGAACATAATATATAACTTGACTAACGTTTGGTTCGTGCACGTGTGTAAGAGTGTAAACTGCTATGCGTCTAACAGGATACACAGTATTTTTCGCTGTTACAATTAGTGTTACTTAACAGTATATATATTTTTAATTTGATTTTTTATTATATATATTTTTTCCATTTTATTAGTGCTTCTACCTTGAAAGAGTGCAAACACTTTACTTTATCTTCTCTTCTGTTATCTTTCTATTGGTAGGAGCACTGTTTTTGACCTTTGGAAGGTCATTCGAATAATTTAGGTGCTTAAAAACACCGTATAAGAGATAAAAGCTAATTAACTCCTATCGCGTCTCCTACTTTTTTGTGCACGAGCTTGTGACGCAACCTTGGCTCTCGCTTCGACTACAGTGAGGTAGGCGCCAGTCAACCTTTAACGAGCCTTTTTAGGCAACAGTGTAAGTTGGTGCTATTAATGGTAGCAATATGTCGGTAATTTGACATTTGACTGTTGGCTATATTTCGGAACCTACGCAGAGTCAGGTTCATTCTTTTGGCGGCGCGAGAATTGCTTTCCCCTAGACTGCTATCGTAAAGCGGCAAAAAAGCTTGACCCTAAATATAAAACTTGCGTCTGCAGATGACTTATTCCTCTAATTGATGGTGTCGATCTAGGTTAGTTGAAAGGTTGCCATCCGTGGGCGGGACATATGCTTAATGTAGACTCATTCTCCTTTGGTCATGTCACCTCTACGACGAGCACAGGTCTTACTTTGATCTTAACCAAATATAATTATGGTTATACAGGTCACTGTAGTGATTAACAAACCTTGTCGTTGTGAATAATGGTACCTTCCTTTGGGACCAGACGAGCTTAGGGTAGTCATGTGCTGCGGAAAGCGATAGGTGTCGTAGCACAGGCCGAAAGATCTGCCTTTAAAATTGGCAAAAAGTCATCTGTTAACTAAATCCTGTGGCATTCGGACAAGCATTATGATTAATAGCGCCCCTTGAACCTCGCGCCTTTGCATTTGTTAACTAGAGGTGTCTTGACTGGTTAAATGGCTTTGGTTGCGATATGTACTTAAGCTGAATAAATTGAATTATAACACTTCGTGAAGAGTAATACCATCCTCCGTAAGCAGTTTATTATAGTATGCCCACGGAGATCCTGAGGGCCCTTGCGTGAAAGCTTGGTGGTTCGGGATAAGTTATGTTGAATACTACCTTCATCCGAGTGATTTGTCGCGGACCTAGGCCATGGAGGGAAGACCTTCATGATGAGTGATGAATGTTAGCACTATTACTCTGATTCGGGGCTGCTGGCGGCCTAATCGGGTTAATGTTGTCTGGTTGGTTCGCTGATGTACATAGCGTATGTTACTGTATGTATAATGTAGTAGTATGCATTGTTATGATAGTGTTAGAGATACTAGTACTATATACATTAGCCTTCGTAGTAGGCAACATGACTATGATACCTATCGAGCTAGAGTGTTCGTTAGTTTGTTCTACCAAAGTAGAACTTTTTTACATCTACTTTAGTCAAACGAGTTAATTAGCCTAGAGAGATATATAAAGTAATAGATCTCCTTAAAAAATGTCTTTAACCGCTTGAAAAATGGTTGGCGCTGGATTAGCTACCACCCTCTTTCATTGATCTGACCGTGGTCTATAGGAATCTTAGCCGGAGTTTTCATATCAGGGATTTCAAGGAACCCTTCGTTATAGGGGCAACTTTTTTCCCCCTCCCTTATTGCTTTTGCCTTGATAGAAGCAAGCGCCTTGTTTGGTCTTATATTGTCTTATTGATTTTATTTGGATTTTAAGTAAGCCAGTGCACCTTTTATTTTACACTTTATATAATAGACAAACCATGTCTACATAGTAATTAAAATTTTCTGGTTTATTGCGAATTATAGAAATCGAGGTCAGATTATCTATCATTGTCTTTAAGAGCACTTAACTCGATTCAACTTTATATAATACTAGAGGGCACTAGCAACATAATGCTCCTTATAATGCTAGTTTAGCGTTACCGTGCTGAGGACATTTTAAAATGGCAGAGTAGAATTACATAGAGTGACCCTCGTCAATAAGCTACGAACTTTGCCAGGGTTAGAAGACTTCCCCTAACCGTGCGCACTAATAGATAACAACCGGGTCTAACTTTAATAATTAAGTAACCGACCTAAATTACAGACTTTATACTAAGGGATTCCAGCTCGCCTAGGACTATGAAAATTGTTAGATTACAGATTCAACCAACACCTTGTTAGTGTAAACCTAATAATAAGTTGAGTACTAACTACAACGCTACACTATGAAATGGGACTTAACTTGACTGAAGAGTTGTTCTATCGACCCGCCCGTGCGTGCTCAATTATAGGACAGAAAAAAAACAAAATTGTATAAACATTCTGGTATTACTAATTTAGTGTATAATCCACCTAATGAGTAATTGGGTTCGACCGAAAACCATGGAAGCAAGAACTATGATGAGTGATGTACGCGTAACACAAAAGTTCTGATCTGAAACGACTGGTGACTAAATATACAGAAAGCATCGAAACTTAGTAGCTTAATGTATAGCTGCATCAGATGCCAGTATCGTAGTTTTCGACCGTCGGTTGGAAATGTGCTCTCCGCTATGGCGCTAGATAGTGTTATTAGGTAGTACTCTATACAATACGGGACGTTCCCCCTCTCGCCCGTGCCTATTATTAACTTGCTTGCGCTTCAATTCCAATCTCTTTATAAGATATTAATTCTTTCTTTCCACAAACTTTCTCCAGGGACTAATTAATATACTTTTTTATTACTATTTTTATTTATTAAAAGCGCTTCACTTCTTCAGAAAACCTTACGATCGGAGGCTCGTGGCATTAGATTATAACATGATCTCGTTTAAACTTCTGTTTTTGTTTTTGTGTTGTGGTGTACAATTATTCCTCCTTAACAGCACTTTTTAGTTCAATTTCAAAATACAGCTAAATAATTACTGTACTTAATAAATACCTAAGGGGAAAAAAAAGACAGTTAACTATGTTGCTTCCGTGGGGCACAAAAAATTGTATAGGGCTTTACAGACCAACTTTTTATAATTAACCTTTGCTGTATTGTAATATATCTTCTCCTATATTTGTAAAGTCTAATATATGGTGAGTACGTGAGGATTTAAGTAGTTAAAGTTTAACCTTTAAGAAGTATATAATGCATAGCAACATATTAAATCATTAAATTTGAAGATTAGGCACCCTTACAAATGTCCCTAATTACCGAATGATAATTTCGCATTGCACTTAATTTTTTCTAATGCGTTATTGTAGGCCTGTACCTCTGCATAGCATAAATGTGTTTTTTATATAAACATGACAATAAATTTGCACTGAAACGTGCCACGAGGGCAAAGTGAGAGGGACAAAACGAAGGTGATTTGGTTGCTGAAGGGTTTCGCTTTGCTACGCCTGAGAGACAGCGTGCGAACCAGTGGTAAAAATAGTAATCAGTAACCTATGAGGGGAAAATTTATCTCTGGCTGGTCTCGAAAAGAATATTAGCGCTTATAACAAACGTGAAGTTAAAAACAAAAAGTTAAAGAGTGCCTTTAACACGAGAATATAAAAGTCCTTTTTTAAAAAAACCTTTTAGATTTACTGGCCCTCCCCCCCCCTCCCCCCAAGCAGAACATATGAACTTTTTATATCTTATAGAACCGACTTAACTACACTTTTCAGGTCAAAAAAATATATACCTAAATAACTCACTGCTAAAAACCTTTACTTTTTCCAATATTATTGATGCGCAAATATTAAGATGTGCGTCTCAATCCTTTATCAACGTTAGTCTTGTGGAACGCAAGAAGTTTGGAACGCACCAAACAAAGCCATTAACTCTGCAATTATCCCCAAGTATTAATTTAGTATATCTTAGCTTGGCAAAAGTAATTCAATATTCCTTATAAATTTATTGATTTTAAAAATTTTTATTAAAAATATAAATTAAATTAGGAAGTATCTTCATATATACTTAACGACCAATGACTTTAATATTATTTCTCCCTGAAGTAGCTAATTTTATAAATAGCATTTCCAAACTAAACAAATATTATATGCACAACTATTAGTTAATAAATTACTAATAAATACATTTCAAATATTGATATATGTAAATAATTATTCATAAAATTTTTTTATACACAGTTGGTATTAAGTTAGAACATATGGGGGGTCATCAGGCTGGTATATTTCTCCAAATTCATTCTTTTCGTAGGGAAAAGGCATTCCCTCGTAATATGTTGGGAAGGGCGCATTCGCGGGGATTGGTTTCCGCAGAGCATCTTTCATCCAATATAAAATGAGAAAGCAAAGATAAGAGAAAATACAACAATAAATAAAACGAGGAAAAAGTCCACTTTATATAAAATAACCTCTCAAATAAACAGTGGCGTTTTTACATCCAGGGACAGAGCCAACAACGTATATTAAATTAAGAACAGAGTCAATTTTAAAAATTCTCAAAGAAAGCTATAACATTTAAGTAAAAGTAAAATAAGAGCATCAGTCAATCAAAATTTTGTAAAGTTTAAACAAAAATTTATATAATCTAATCCACTATGAAAAATAATGAATAGTTGGCTATTCGAATTGGTTGTACGGTATTTACAAACTTTATGAAATCTAATTTTTTCACTATTGCAGAAATAAATTGAGTGAAAGTTATAAACAATGTTCAACCGTTGTAGCATTTTCACCTCCCATGCGCCCTGGCATTTTCTTTCCTTTAACAACTTTTCCAAGCCCCTTATTATAAATATTTCCGAAAAGGATGAATATAGCCTTATAAAGAGTAAAGTTTCTCATAATTATACGCTTGGGCCGCTGGAGCCAGGCGTGCGGTGGGAAAGAGACCAACCGTGTGATGCTGGATGGCCTTTAAAACCCCAACGTTTCATTACCCCACAGAAGCCCTTTCCGATGCTAATGAGCAAAAATATTAATAACACTGCAAGGTCCTATAAAAAAATACACATATACGTTATTGCGCGACAATCGACGTATTGGCCAGGCACAAAGTGCAAAGCATGTAATGTCGTTCCTTGGGTTAATAAAAAGGATAAGAAGATGCAAGATCAAAACTATAAGATAACTTCAAAAGCACAGATTTTTTAGAGATATAAAGTTTTAGAGATAAACCGTACAAGCAAAAACTTAGTCACAGTAATATCGTAAAACTTGGAAAAATCTCTAAGAAACAAAGTTCAAAAAGATACTAAGCAAAAGAAAGCTATATTGAGTATGTATTATTAATATATAAAACAAGTGCATTAAACAAAACGTATAACTCAAGAATAATAGAAAGAAAAAAATTAAAAACCAATTGGAATGTAATTATAAGGACTGATCTTGAATTGTGCGATATGATACTTTGGTTGGATGCCAATCTTTGAAAACTTGGCAAGTTCAGAGCGAGGTAACTATAAAAAATATAGTTTAACAGAAAAAATAAAAAAGGTGTTTAAGACTATAACAATCGTAAAGAATAAAATAATGATAACACTATTAACAGCTCTAGAGTATAAATTTTATTATTATAAAAAGTTTGTGACTTTGCATATAAGTAAAAGAACGATTGCTTTAGGCAAATATCTAAAAATTTTTGAAGCCTGGAAGTCTATTGTATGGTAAATATTTAAAACTATAAATTTAATAACAATAAATATTTAAAAAGTTATATTAAGTTAGTAAGTTAGTTATTTTATACTTAAACACAAAATTTGATAAAAAAAAAAATAAGGAAAAATACAGAATGATATTTTAGGCTTTAATACTCTATACAATCTTGACCAAGAACGATTCTTTGCTCCAACAAGTAAACCATTAATACCATTTTTTTCTTCTGTTAAATGTTGTAAAACTTGACAATTATCTACCTTTAAAAATGTTAATAGAAATTAATTACGTTATTATAATATAAATGAACTTAATAAAGAACTTAGATTCGACATAAATTTTTTTTTTACCAATATTTCTTAGTACTATAGCCCTTAATAAAATCAAGCCAGTAAAATTCTATATAAGTTTTCTACTATATTATACAATTTATAATCTCTTCCTTTGGAATTTCTTTAGTATTGTAAACCTGCAGTACAGTTAAAGGAAGACGAAAACCGTTATTGTCCCATTCTTGCATCATCCCCAACTTTGTTGCTTAAAAATAGCAATTGTTTGTAAATATAATTTGAGTAGTCATAATTTATGGTCACCTATTAAAGAAGAGCGTTGATTTTCTACAACTTTACTACCCCAACTTTTGAGCTCAGAGACGGAACGTGCAGTAATGATATTAAAGGTTTTAAAAACGTAAACGTACCTTTGATTAGTGTAAGAATTTTTTACTATATTTGCGTAAAAATAATCGCAAAGACTATAATGCCGTCTACTAAATATATAAAAAGAGTGCAACAAAGGAAAATAGCTGCAAACCATCATTACGCAAAAATTATGCAACAAGCGAGTATAAGCTCCAGCCCTAAAGCTTGAGGGCCATGTGGCCCATTTACGAACTAAAGGATCAAGCTGCTAAATATAATACACAAAAGTTGCTGAGAAAAGAGGATAGTTGAGCAAAAGAATACCTTTTTTAATATTTCTTTAGAAATAAAATAACTTAATTCTACAAGTACAGGACCATTATAATATTATTTTTTAACTTGATATTAGTATTGCTAGAGGTGAGGAGCCAACTCGTAGTTCTTAGGTAAAAGTTTTACCATCATGGGTTTACTTATCTCGTTTGTCAATAAAAAAGGTTCAAGTCGTATTGTTATATGAAGCTATTAGGGAAATTCATTTTTAATTCTACAATTCTAGGTAGCGGACGACCCAAGCGTAATTTTCTTTATGTTTATAATAAACGTGTTCTGACATTTGCACCTAAATATTTTTTATATAATTTTAAAAGGTTTGCTTGACTGACTATCATTTTTAATATTGATATAATTAAAATTCATCATTATGTTTAGATTCCAATTCGATCCGGTGTTACCGTTTCGGGTTACCATCTTAGGGTTAACTAAGCGTGAGTTAAAATTTCACAGGTAAAGAATTCACAAAAAATAAATAAAAAAAACTCGGACGTAATAAGACTGACGAAATGATTGATAGTTAGAAGATTTAAGGTAGAACAGAAAGCTTGTAAGAACAAGTAACAGGGAGCGAAAAACCAAATTTAGAGGGGAATTCCGAAGCAAGGATAATAAAATTATAAAATTGAAAATATAGACATAGTAAGAAGGATGCTGGTAATGCAAGCCTGCAATTAATAATAGAATGAAAACAACAGAGTTAAAGATATATATATATATTCCGTAATTACCTATTATTTTGAGATCTTGGTAACTTTTAGACCATTATAACCCAATATCATGTAGTAGTTTCCAACAAAGCAGTAATAGAAAAATTATTTTTTTGAGATGAAGTGGCTTTGTAAATATGTCTGCCAGATTTAGTCTAAAAGATGTAGTGTATACTCAACGCAATTATTTTCTTTTTGAAGTTCCATCCTTGATGTAGTGATAAGCTATGTCAATATGTCTTATCCTCTTGTTCGATGCATCACCTTTTACTATATCTTTTATTGCTTCGTTTGTCAGTACAAAATTTTACTTTTAATCCATTGGTTGGAAATTCTCTAAGAGTATATTTTTTAGGGTCAATGCATTTGATATAGCCTTGCTTAAAAGCTATGTACCTGGTTTCATCTATATTAGAAGACCATTACGCTGGAGATCCTCTAACTAGAAATAATATAACCCATGGTAGTTTTGTTGTCGTAGGAGTCAGCCCAATAAAAATAACACTCAGTTAAGGAACTGCTGTCAGGATAGTTACTACATCTCATATGAAGCGAAGGATTTCTACGTGCCAATCTCTTATGTTCATTGTTGCAATGGAGGAATCAGCTCTGCATAGGTCTCGCGTATGAGATAGGCCTAGTGCTATCAGCAATATTACGTAGAGATCCGGTTAGACAATAATATTCAGCGTTGTTACTTCTATCAATAGGGAATTCAATTTTAGTAGAGTTGGGTATAGATGGTTTACGTTTAGATTTTGTGTCTAGGGAATTTTGAGATGAGTTGTTCAATGTTATAGTTTGATCAATTGAGTAACGATCTTATTTACCTACTATATTAATCCCCAGAATTCTTCTAAATTTGTTGCATTCTTTTTTATCGTACTCCTTTTTCAAAACAGAAAAAAAAATTTTTTTTTAATAATCTCCCAGTATTATGCAGCCATCAACCGAAATACCTATAATCGTTTCATGCATTCATTAGTTGTACTTTGATAATAACCATATCTTCTTAGTCTGCAAGCTAAGCCTTTGTGAAACTTTTAAACCATACGAAGCAATCTTAACTCAATGCGCATTTTCTTTTTTTTTATTATAGTGTTCTCTAAGAAGGTTTCTTTTTACTGACTATTTATTTTTTTTAATATCGTATGCAGCCCTTAAGGTATGTGTACAGAGACTGGATTTTGTAACTGGTAGTAAAAAGGCTGTAGTTCCGTGTGAACAAATTTTTTTAAAATTTTAGCCATAGTAATAAGTAATCGAAGTTCGAAGTGATGACTTGGAAAAGAAGGGGGAAAATCCTCTTTATATCGAAAACAGGTACTTGTTGATATCCCCTCGCAATCAGTTCACTTTGAAATGACTGTTTGACTTAACGTGGAACCTCCACGGAGTTGTAATGGTATTATCATTGTTTAAGCAGTTTATATCAACAATTTCAAATCCATAATAGACAGGAAAGGATTCAAGTTCTTTATTAGCTGCTTCTCGGTAATTATCCCTATTTTTTTTGATTGCATGGCTTCATTATGTTAAATAAAAGTTTTGTGTCAAAAGGTTATTACTGGTTTCTTTTTTTTGGTTTAAGTGTTAATATTATTCTCAGAAGTTCTTTTATATGAGGTCCCCCTATTCCTTCTATAGAAATGAGCTGATCTTTATGATTGCAACATATTACATCGACAATCAGATTTTTTTTCAGGGCTTGCTTGTTTGTAAGTTAAACTAGCGTTTTAGTATCCATGGTATCCCTTTTATGAGTTATATTATTTGTTCTTATGTTTTAGATGATCTCTTGATTTATTATTTAAAGAGCATATACCTAGTTGAGAAACCGTCTAGTCACTATTTTCCAGAGTTTTTTCTTTGCCTTTGATAATATTCCCTGTGGTCCGTGTTTCATTGATTGAGTATAGTACTGTCTGTCGTTTTATTGTTAATTCTCACTATTACTATAATTATTACTATTAATATTTTGATTATCATTATTATGACTATTTCTGTTATTATTTTACTATTATTATGACTCTCAATATTATCGTTACTATCACCATTATTATTTTAATTTTTTACTGAAATCGTTGTTATTATTACTTTAGTTTAAGTTGTTGTAGCTGCTAGAGTCGGAGATTATGAACTGTCTGTTCAGTACTGGCGTCTAAAGTATTTTTATCGCAAGTTGCTTGTACTTGAGACTTTATATCTCCCCTAAATATACTGTTTGCTTGATGTTGCATCGTATTTTTAATAGTAGCACAGGAAAGTTGTTGTCCTTGAAAAAATCATCATACTTTTAAGAGAGATTGAAGGGGGTACTTAGCAAGATCTAAGGGGAAGATGTCTTCGAAACATACTGTCTCTAGATCTTACGTTTTTCCCCTTTGTTAAATTAAGTATAGTGTATTCATCCTTAGTAGAATCTATCGTTTTGGAAAGAAGAACGTCATCCTGAGCCCGATCTTGAGAAGTTTTTTTAAATCCAGGATCATAAAACAGGAATTTTACAAGCTAGAGGTTTACAGTAACTTAGCCGGCTGGATCCAAGCCCAATAATTTCATTAGGCGGATTTCTTTTGTTCTTTTTGGAAAGTTTAATATGTGACCGCGTCAACGGGATGTTTTTCTTCAAAAAACTTATGGTAATTTGTACTGTTTTAGTTGCACCGAGTCATGATACATAATGTTTAAATGCTTCTTTCACTCAGCATGTTTTTAGGTACCGGTGATCGTCAAAGCATATAACCGTAAAAGTTCATTATGTTAAAGAAAGACTAGAAGATGTATATATTAACCTAAAATATTGTAACAGTGGAAGTATGGTGGCAGACTTAATTACCAAAATTCTGAGTGAAAAGAAATTTATAAAGCATAGAAATAAGCTAGTTGCGCTCATAGGATGAGGGCTTTATTCTAAAAGCCTTAAAATTATTGTTGGTATTAATATCGACAGTTGTATCATTTTAGGTGATCATGCATCTTCTTTAAACAAATACTTGAGGAATACAATATGAAAGATAATTTTGGTACAGGAAGGATATTAGGAATGCACCTTCAGCATAGCAGTTGTAATACTTTAATGTATTTAAGTAATGAAATTGAACAACTGGCGGAATTTTTATAAAGTGGACACCAAAAAGAGGTATATAATACCATTAGCTACACGCATTAAAGTACAACCACCTCTTGAGCAAAAATAGTTTTAAGAATTTAAATTTAAATGCATTTCGTGTATTTTTTATGTTATGGCTAATATCATTGTTATAAGCCTCATCTCGTTCAATCCGTCCCTATTATTATTTAGTTGTATCCATGAGAAGAGGTTATATCCACTGTAGTGTATTTAGATAGAGTAATGACTACACTCCGAATAGTGTTTGGAAGTTGCCTTTGTTTTTAATTTATAAGCTTGTCAAATTTCCCATCCTCACGTAAAGGTTTTATGTTAATAATAATTTTTAATATACTTACGGTTAGCATGCATATATATAATATACTTTCCAAATAAAATTACTATCTTTATCTTGTTTATGCCTCTGTATTAAAATACTCAACAACTTCTGGACCTCAACAGCTAAAAGGCGGGGGCCTCTGGAACACCAAACAGGAAGACAAAAGGCTAACGAAGAAAGTTTGGAAAACACACTTGAAGTTTATGCTTGGGTAGAATTTTAGACTATAGTATAAATTTAGTTAGCCTACGGGTAACGTTTTTTTAAATTTAAAGGCGCCACATTTACCACCATTGGTTTTATTTGCGTTCTAATAAGTGGTTCATCTCTACATTTTAAACCTTTACTTTGATTTTAATACTTTATACTTAGGATGTCAAGTGCAAAGCATTTGTTGAAATATTGTTAGTGAGATTATATAATTTATTCTTCTTTATCCTTTCTGCTTTTATTAGGTGGTCTTTTTAAATGTCACTGTACCCTTATCTAAAGTTATAGTGAAACCAACTGATAATAACTTTTCTTCAACAAGCTTTAAATACTCTTTTTCTTAAAGGTAAGTTATATAATTAGTTTCGTTAGTC